GATGGATGGATGGATGGATGGATGGATGGATGGATGGATGGATGGATGGATGGATGGATGGATGGATGAACAATGAGTTGATTCAGAATCTGACAAAGTTTCATTATAGAGAATGTTTCTCCTACATTACAGACTTTCATTCCAGACTTGATAATTTAAGCTTTGCTACTTTAACTTTTAAATAACCTTACAGTTAGAGTTTGATTGTGTTTTGATTTTAGACATTTTGTTACTTTTAACTATTTCACTCAGTTTGGCTTTCAGGTTGTTTTTTTATTTTTATTTTCATTTTTGCGCTTTCTTCATCAAACTATCATTCAGCAAATTTCAGCAGTTGTTTGCCACAGAAAATGGGTTTCTCTCTCTCTCCTTTTTTATTTATTTGCTTTAAAAACCAATCAAAATTTTGAACTAATTAAAGTTGTTTTTTTTAACAAAGAACCTGAATTTCTGGGATTTAGGATTTAATGTTTCTTTAGATGTTTATTAGAGTTTTTTTTAAATATGGACATCATTTCTTTACATTTTTAAAGTCTAATTTAAAGAAAATGGCGCAACAACATATTTTTTTCTTTAATAAATTCAATTCTGAACATTTTATTGATAAAAAACAGTTAAATTCTGCAGATATTTTCAACTTTATTCAGAACAAAGCTGCCAGTCTGTGCTGCAGACAACTGAAAGCTGCAGGTTTTCTTCTTTTATTTCATTTATTTAAATTATTAACGACACGAGCCTCGGACCTCACGCGCGCACGGACACCCACATCATGACTCGTGCGTGAAAACGAGCAGGAAATGATTGAATCCAGGTTTGCAGTTAATTAAATCTGTGCTCATTCTTGCTCCTGGGGTGAACTGAAGCACTTTTTTATTATCGTTATTTTCTTTATCAGTTATTAATGATATTTTGGAGGCCCTGCGGAGATTTTCTCCCCCTCATCTCCTGGTGCTGCACCCACACAGAGGCGCATCGACGCGGTGCGGATGAGGATGGAGGGATGGATGAGGATGGATGGATGGATGGAGGGATGGAGTTAACAAAAGAAAATCAGCCTCACCGTGTTTTTCTGACGACATGCCTCCTGATCTTCCTCCTCCGATGATTTAATTTCAGTCCAGCTGCAGCTGAAGCGTCTCGATGATTCAGACTTTTTATTCTGAATATTCCATCATCAGGACGGCCTCATTTCAAAAACATCAACTTAAAGAATCAAAAACAAACCAATAAATAAAATAAACTAAAAACCCCCGCAGGAGTTCACTGTCTGAATCAGCTCAATCCTCTGCTCTCCTGACCAACACGTCGCTGCATTWATCAGACACAACCAGGGTTGCCAGATAGGAAATGACGAAACGCCGAACTGTCGCTGTAAAATTATCCTATTTTGATACTTATCATATGTGCGGAGTGAGGAGAGCGGCGCATGCGCACAGGAAGGAGGGGCTTGAGTCTGTTCTACGCAAAGTTAGTTCTTTTTAGTGGACATAAATGTCAAAAACTATTTATTATATCAGAAAACCCCACAAATTAGTGTAAACTGCGAAAATTGTAACTGAGCTTCCCTTTACTTAAAGCAACAGACAAAACAAGGAATCTTTCCTAAAGTGACAGACACTGAAACATGGGAATCTTTCCTAAAGTGACAGACACTGAAACATGGGAATCTTTCCTAAAATGACACACTGAAACATAGAAATCTTTCCTAAAATGACAGACACTGATACACGGAATCTTTTCTAAAGTGACAGACACTGAAACATGGGAATCTTTCCTAAAGTGACAGACACTGAAACATGGGAATCTTTCCTAAAGTGACAGACATGTTTACAAGGTGGGTATCTTTCCTAAAATGACAGACACTGATATATAGGAATCTTTTCTAAAGTGACAGACACTGATACACGGGAATCTTTTCTAAAGTGACAGACACTGATACACGGGAATCTTTTCTAAAGTGACAGACACTGCGGAATCTTTCCTAAAGTAAAAGACACTGATACATGGGAATCTTTCCTAAAGTGACAGACACTGATACATGGGAATCTTTCCTAAAGTGACAGACACTGATACATGGGAATCTTTCCTAAAGTGACAGACTTGTTTTCAAGGAGGGAATCTTTCCTGAAGCGGCAGACATGTTTACAAGGTGGGTATCTTTCCTAAAATGACAGACACGGATACATGGGAATCTTTCCTAAAGTGACAGATACTGATACATGGGAATCTTTCCTAAAAGGACAGACACTGATACATGGGAATCTTTCCAAAAATGACATACACTGATACATGGGATTCTTTTCTAAAGTGACAGACACTGATACATGGGAATCTTTTCTAAAGTGACAGACACTGATATATGGGAATCTTTCCTAAAGTGACAGACTTGTTTTCAAGGAGGGAATCTTTCCTGAAGCGGCAGACATGTTTACAACAAGGTGGGCATCTTTCCTAAAATGACAGACACTGTGGAATCTTTCCTAAAGCGACAGACACTGATACATGGGAATCTTTCCTAAAATGACAGACACAGATACATGGGAATCTTTCCTAAAGTGACAGACACTGATATATGGGAATCTTTTCTAAAGTGACAGACACTGATACACGGGAATCTTTCCTAAAGTGACAGACACTGATACATAAGAATCTTTCCTAAGATGACAGACACTGATACATGGGAATCTTTCCTAAAGTGACAGACACTGATACATGGGAATCTTTTCTAAAGTGACAGACACTGTGGAATCTTTCCTAAAGTGACAGATTTGTTTTCAAGGAGGGAATCTTTCCTAAAGTGACAGACTTGTTTTCAAGGAGGGAATCTTTCCTGAAGCGGCAGACACGTTTACAACAAGGTGGGTATCTTTCCTAAAATGACACTGTGGAATCTTTCCAAAAATGACACTGTGGAATCTTTCCTAAAGTGACAGACACTGAGATATGGGAATCTTTTCTAAAATGACAAAGACTTGTTTACAACAAGGAGGGTACATATCCTAAAGTGACGGACACTAACACATGCAAATCTTTTCTAAAATGACACTTGTTTACAAGGACAGAATCTTTCCTAAAGTGACAGTGATACTAGGGAATTTTTGTCTAAAATGACAGACACGTTTACAAAAAGGAGGGAATCTTTCCTAAAGTGACACTGATTCAAGGAGGGAATCTTTTCTAAAGGAAAAGACACATTCACAACAAGAAGGAATCCAGTAAGAGGCTTAAAATATTCTCAAACATAAAGTTAAAGTTGGAATACAGATTTTATTGTTGTACAATAAATTACAGTGATTTTATTTTCACAGTCTGTACTTTGGTCTGTTAATAAAATCAAGATGTAAACATGTATTTTTCTTTGTAATAATCATTTCAGGCACATCCAGCTCTAAACATGCTCTACATGTCCTCTCTCAGTGTGTGTAGAGGGAGGCGGTGAAGACGATGTCTCTGCGGATGGACAGAGAGGCTCGCTCCATCTTGCTTCCCAGGACGGAGTCGCCCACGATGCGGGCCGCCTGTCGCACCTCCTTCAGCACCTCGTCCAGCCGCTGGATGCAGCGGACCACCGTCCCCTCCTGGACGTCTGTGAGCTGGGCGATCTCAGCAAACGGCTGAGACGAAACGACAGGATATACTTTTTATTTAATGTTTCATATTAAAATACAAAATTATAACTATGGTTCCATACATTTTAATGAAGATTACACTGACTGTTGTTTTACCAAAGATGTTATTTTTAGTTAGAATGATAATTTTGATAATTTTATGTTTTAGCTAGACTTAAGCTAATGTAGCTAAACTTTAGCCCCTTTAAGAAAATCCTTTGCTACTTTTAGCTAGCCTTTTGTTACACTTAGCTAACTTTTAGCTCATTTTAGGAAAGCCTTTCCTTTTGATAATTTAGCTAAGCTTTAGCTCATTTTTTAAAAGACTTTGCTACTTTTAGCCAGCCTTTTTTTGCTTTTAGCTAATGTTTAGCTCCTTTTAGAAAAGCCTTTGCTAAATTTAGCTAGCCTTTTGTTACTTTTAGCTAACCTTTAACTGCTTTTAGAACAGCCTTTGCAACTTTTAGCTAGCCTTTTGTTAATCTTAGCTAAGCTTTAGTCCCTTTTAAAAATCTTTGCTACTTTTAGATTTTTGGTACTTTTAGCTAGCCTTTTGTTGATTTAAGCGTTAGTTCCTTTTTTCCCCTTATTTTAACATTTTGCTAGTTTAAGCTAGCCTTTTGTTACTCTTAGCTAACTTTTAGCTGATTTTAGGAGAGCCTTTGCTAATTTTAGCTAGCCTTTTGTTACTTTTAGCTAACGTTTAGCTCCTCTTACAAAAGTCTTTGCTAATTTTAGCTAGCCCTTCGTTACTTTTAGCTAAGCTTTAGCTACTTTTAGAATAGCCTTTGCTACTTTAAGATTTTTCGTACTTTTAGCTAGGCTTTTGTTATTTTTACCTAAGTTTTAACGTATATTTTTTCCCTAATTTTAAAATTTTGCTAGTTTAAGCTAAACTACCTCAATTTCGAAAATTTTTTGCTACTCTTAGCTAGCTTTTTGTTACTTTTAGCTAACCTTTAGCTGCTTTTAGGTAAGCTGTTAGTATTTTTAACTAGATTTTTGCTCACTGTAACTAACATTAAGCTCTTTGTAGAAAAGCTTTTGGTGTTTTTAGCAAGATTTTTGCTTATTTTAGCTTTTAGGTACTCCCACCAGATATTTTGGCTTTACCAGACAATAAGGTGTGACCCGGTGCTGAATCCTCACCATGCCTCTGGCCCAGCAGTACACCACCTCCGTCAGGCCGAACTTCAGCTGACCCACGAACTCCTCGGCTGTTTGGGGTAAGCCACACTCCCGCTGCAGCTCTCCGATCCTCCGGGCCACTGACAGAACCTGATCGATGCCCTGCGAGGAGGAAGAGGTGAGCAGGGGGATCACGTGACGCGACACGGATCAGCGGGTCGTCACGCCTCACCTCCTTCAGGGTGCTGGTGATGTGCGGCTCCACCTGCGTGTTCTGCGTGAACACCAGGCAGGACAGCAGGGCGGCGCTCTCCTCGGGCGCCAGCGGGCTCAGGACGTTCTCGAACAGAAGCTCGGTCAGCAGAAGCTCGTGGCTGCTGATCTGACACGCCACCCGGCCCTTCAGCTGCACGGCACCGCTGCTGTCCACGTACTGGAGCGACTGGAGGACCTGAGACGACACCAGGGGGGGACATAATCTCTGAGATTAAACACTGAACTCTAAATATGTCCTGTAAAACTTTTTGACTTTTCAGAATTATGTTTTGTATAGTGGTATTAATTTATATTTTCAGATCTTCCAAGGAGCCAATTATGGAACTCTC